AATTTTGATGAAGATCCATCCACTCCCTGCGAAGTAGTTACATGGACAACAGACAGTACCGTTATATTTGTATAGATACTTACAGTTTCATGTTTATAAGTCTTTCGGTGAACTGTTAAGGAAAACTTCCTGGGTAATTTCTTCGTCTTATCTTCAATACCTTAGAACTTGTCCCTCACTCTTCAAAGTACTGTTTCAGCAACGATCACTTGTTGAAAAACCACAAATAACTTTGATGAAAGTTAATGCAACGAATTGATTTATTTCACAAACATAGAAGGTGGACTAAAACTTAAAGGTAATATGATTAAACGTTCATTTTGTTTCTCTGACGCAAAGATATATTGTGTGAAATTCAAAACCAAACGAACATCAAGATGGTGAATTTCTCATTCAAATAGTTTTGTTATGTAGACAATATTCGGTTCTTTAAGCAGTCATCTTGCACCTTATTCATAGATGAACAAGAAATGAGGAGCCAGTATTTATGAGAAGCTTGAAAACGCAGTCATTACGTCACTAACACATTTCCCGCCTTCTGGGCAATCCACCAGACAAATCTAGGAACCTATACTGTTTATAGAAAGAGAATATAGTTTCTTTCCTCTTTAACACCGCTCGCTATCCCTCTTTTCACTAGCGGTGAGCGAATTTTACGACAAACCAAACCACGTGGTTTCTTGGCCCACGAGGATGTTGTTTAGATGACGAATAGGCCACTCATCAGTCAAAGGAAAAACATAAGGCTTCCAGATTTTTGTAAGAAACTTTGACGGCAAACTGGTTTATGTAAGATAGAATATATGAGGTCATAAATACGTTTTTTATGTTCTTTTTTTTAACTATTCTCAGTATAAACCCATTCTTGTCGGTTAGTTACAGGAAAGATAGAGGGAATGGCGCAATTAGCGGCAAAGTGTTTTGCAACAGTCAATATGTTAAACATTCTTGACATCAGTTCATTGAAGCTCATATTGACGTATGTTGATAAGGGAATGACCATTCTAAGGTAAAACGCTAAAATGACTTTCTGTATGTCATCTAACAAATGGATGATATCACCTACATTACTATAACTTATTGTATACCCACCTAATAAGATAGATTAAAATATAACTTTTTAATGAAACCATCGCCACACGAATCTCGGGAAAATTTCAAACAATGCTTTGGCACTATTCAAATAACCTACCATACAAAAATTAAAGTACGAATGTTACAATAATTTATTTTTTGTGTTAGTAAGATCAGTAGCATTTTCACGCTAAAAAGTTAGATCTCACCTCGATAATCCATATATTATTGCAGGATTTTTCATTTATGATGCCTTTATAATGTAATTGAGATTTGCTGAGTATTTAATCATGAGAAAAACTTAACATATATCTCTTATAACTAAAACTAACGTGCTATACTCGTCTGCCTTTTTTATTCTTAACCTGTAGATTTTAACGGTCTTTTGAAGGAATTATGTTAGTATTTTAAAGGATGTTTTACACACGCATACATGTATGCATTCTATACGGGTTTATGTCGTTAAACTTTGGTTGAGAACAATAGAAACAAATCTTAATAATTTGGAATGTCAAACATTTAATATGTTTGAAATAAGAACGCGGATTTTTTAAACACATTTTAGACGATCCTTGTAGGAGTTCTGTTTCTTTGATGACACTCGTCTTGTCAGTCGTGTCCTGCTTTCTCTAGTTTATTCTAGCTGGCTAGCTGACAGAAACTTCTCACCTTAATAAAGATTCAGTTTAACAAGTCTCCTGAAAGTTAAGCTCCACGGATTCCTAGACACAGCTTAAAGTGATGTGACCTAAATATTTAGTTTTTACTTTACAAACTCTTCTCTTAAATTGTTTAAACTTATTATACTAAAGAGGATATAGAATTTCTTTCTTTTTTTCCGTATGTTCAAATAATCTGTTCGTTCTAGGATTCTGCTTAGCTAGTTATCATCAAATTTCATAAGGCTTGTTTGTTTGTTTTTGAATTTCGCCGTCCCTAATTTAGCAGTGTAAGACTAGAGGTATCACCACCCACTGCCAACTCTTGGGCTACTCTTTTACCAACGAATAGTAGGATTGACCATCACATTATAACGTCCCCACGGCTAAAAGGGCGAACATGTTTGGTGGGATGCGGATTCGAACCCGCGACCCTCAGATTGTGAGTTGAGCGCCTTATCCACCTGGCCATGCTGGGCTTTCTATAAGGCACACTCATTCAGAAGCTGTATACATACTTATGTAAATTTCTGGTATATAATATGTTTTAAATGACTTAAGTCTTAACCAAACTTTAAAAATAATTCAATATTTATATTTATATACACCTTTCATCTTTAAAACACAAACTCAAAGTACATAAATATGCTTGATCACATAAGCAAGTAGTTGGATTGACTGATGAATTTAAAGTTAATAGATAGTCAGTTATTTGCACCATTTGGTGTATGTGTATTGTTAATCCTAATTAGCTGTGAATGAGCTCAACAAGTCACGCGGTAATGACAACATGATAACTGGTTTGAAGGAATGTCAAGTTTGACTATTCGTTTGTTCGTGGTTAAGCACAAAGCTACGTAAAGGGCTACCTATGCTCTTCCCACCACGGGTATGGAAACCCAGTGTCAAGCGGTGTAAAAGATACTGCTGTGCCACCTAGGGGCTTGACTATTCGATTCGACTATATTTCGACAGTTTTTAAAGTAGCAGTCAACATTAACTCTAGAAATAAATTCTTACCTAGTTTATTAGTACGTCTCTTTAGAAACACTTTTTATAATATGCAACTGTTGAAAAACATCTATTAATCTATTATAATCATGCGCTATTGTTATTTGAAATGTTGATGTATTAAC